TTATTATTGAGTGATAAATGTAACACTTACTGATTTTAATGTTATACATGGTTATATTTTTATTCAAGTTTAACTGAGTACTTTAACCCCATTTTAGTGTTGCACTCTATTTTACATATTTAATGCACTGTTTTAATAATTGCCTAATGTTTTAATGATGGCTTTACTAATAATTCATTGTTTTGAAATACTGTCCTAACATTAATCATTTTCTGTATTGACTTGTGGTAATGACTATGTACAGTAAACAACTTGACTGATGGAATGAATAGTCCATTCACAGTAATTCATGAGAATGACAGGGCTCTTACAAGACATTTTGCACTCAGGTGAAGATGCTGAAGCAAATAATTGTATTAATTATGACAGCCATACACAGACAGACAGGAGTATAATCCTTTCCTAATCTCTGCTCGCAAATAGTTTTAAAAAGAAAATATATTTTTATACGTACAGTACCTCCATAGTCTGTCTGTCTCTGTCTCTCTCACTCACTCACACACAGAGATACTTGATTGTATTTATAACAGAGTGCAAAACACTTTGTAAAAAGCACAGATGTTAAATTTCTTTGCCTGTTTCAGTGTTAATATATGTGCAACCAAAGCAAGCCACTTTTAACCTGACACTTCGAACGAACTCTGATACAGAAATTCAAGTACAAAATAAACACACATTGAATCATCTGTGAAAGGTATACTGCATTAGAACTAAGTGTTCTTTGCTGCAAAATATATGGAAGAGATGACTGGACAAAGAATAGGTTTCCATGTACTCTGCCAAGAAAAGCAACAGTACATAACATTCACAACAGATGCAAAGACTTATGTATTTCCTACTAGTGTATTTGTGCTTAAGAACGGGTTGAGTTTGGCTTTCCTAAGTGTGGTTGCTGAAAAGGCAACAAAAGACTGACTGGACTTAGAGAAAACTCACCCAGAGCCCAGGCTAAGAAGGATCTGTATGTGCTGTGGGTGGGTAGGAAGGAGAGAAAGAAAAGCGAGGGGGTATAAAGTGGTGAGCCAGAATGTATTACTACTTTGAAAAAACAGCTGAATCTTATGTGCAACTTTTGCATTGTGCTAAAGATCATAAATGCTTTTATATCTTTCCTTATGTTACTTAAACTTTGTCAAAGTTTCCATCACTAAAGAGATATATTTAATTTACACATCTTCTTTTTTAAAAAAAGGTCATCCAGTAGGGCAGGGGAACCAAACAAGGAAAATTCAAAAAGGAAGAGCAACTTTCATTGTTCTCAACAGAAGTGCAAAGGATCACACACCAGCTTGTCTAATCTGTAATGTTTGGTGTATTTTGTATAGATGAAAATATTCAGATTCTTTCTTTAGAAGAGGTTGCCAGATGCAACCATCTGATAATACTTTGCAGCAGATGGAGTCTGACATAAAGTTAATTATTTATACCATGGACTACTGCTTTGAAAGACCTAGAAAATAATGATAAAGGAGCCACCCTTTAGTTAAAGCAAACATTAGTTATCCAGACTGCAAGGGTAAAATTCATTCCAGGTATCATTCCACTATAATTAACTCTGTAAATTACAAGGGTATATTCAAAACAGTCTCCTTTTAGCTCTGTGTCGGATAGATTGTAAAGACACATTCCTCCACATCCTGCAAAGCTGTTGGAAAGACAAACAGTACTTAGATCATTATTGCACTTGAAAATAGAATATCCCCTGGGTACCATCTTTTCTCAGCAGTACTCACAGTACTTTGTTTACTATTGCCAAAGAACTATGAAATAGCAGAAGGTAATATGACAAGTAACATCATTATCTGCTTGTTGATCATATACCAGCCTATGAGATTCTGTTTAAGGCTTCAGTTCTTGACCGACCATTTTTACTAACATAAAAATATGTCATATACAAATTAAATGAAGCAAAGCTAAATCTTGTCAAGGTTTTGTGCAGTAAATATAATTTCTTTTATGTGAAAACCAGTGCAATGGCATTCTTTAAGATCTACTGAGTCACTGATTCCATTCATACATAATATTGAAGGTCCAGGATTTGCTCTTGCAACTGTAAAATTAATTCCTACTCATTATCAAACAAGATGTAAAACTTCATTAAACCATTGATAAATATAGTGAAACTTAGGAACAAAAGCCCTCAGTACTTTGAAATTCTACAAGTGAACTTTGTAAGTAGCTGGTATAGTGGAAGAATATATGGACACCCATGCACCTAAATTATTTCTAGCAAGTAAGAGATTTTTCTGTTGCGAAACACAGGAATGCTTCTGCCAATTTTTTTTTTTTTTTTTGCAAGAGGATACTCTCTTACATGCAACTGAGCTACAAGTGTGATCACATATCTTTATTCCAGTATGCAAGCTTCTTTAAGAGCTTGAATCAAGTGTGCAATTTCACCATGTGACCTTTTGCTCCTACTTAAATATATTGTTTCATTTGGCTTTGTGAGATTTTTCATCTTGATTCACACACAGTGCTAGCAACTCTAGAAACATGACTTATACCTTTAACTGTGCTAGGAAATCAAACAAGTTTAATTTGATTATTAACATTCATAGACCATGCATTCCCAGCCTTCCAGGAGAATTCTGCCAAGGCTCAAGAGTTTAAAAGAAACTAACTGCAGCAGCAACCTAGATTTCGGCTCTTCTCAGTCCCTGGGAATTCCTATATTCAAAGGAAATGCTGAGATGAAATAATGGCTTGTCTCTGTGTTTTTTCATGTTAATTTCATGAAATTTATCCAAGAACAGCATGGGAAGCAATTCTACAGGGCTGGATCTCACACCTCTCTGGTAACTTCTGTGTAAGAGATCATGTGATTCAGATGAATCCTTTGCCATACTGCATGTGGATCTCCATGTTGCTTTATAACTAGGGCACGACTGAAAATTAGGAACACATCTTTATTGTCCTGTGGATCCCTGTCACTTACTACTTCTAGTGTTTTACCTGTTAAAAGCAGCTGCCTTGCACTTTTGAGCAAAAAAAACCCCTTGGACTGAAGTACAGGCCAGAGAAAGCATTTGGAACCAACACAGAGATACTGTTTACGATCACTCTCTGCCATTCCAACATTGTTTTAACATGTCCATAATGTATTGAGGCTTCGTGATGGATCCAAGCAAAGCATGCACGCAACTACCTTTAATGGTAGTACTGGCTAAGTAAGGACCAAATAAGGATTTGGCCCATGGTTTATACAGCTTCCATGACAATATTAATTACTGCTATTCATACATTTGAAATGAGTCATTTAAAATGTCCTTGGCATCTTGCTGTTTAAAGTAAAAACTGAAGCTAAAGCTAGAATACTCTGCTGCAAATCAGCATCCTTCGACAGCATCCTTAAATGTATAATGGGGCATAGTACTCAATGGGCTTGTCCAAACATTCATATAATATCCTTCCACAGTTCTACATTTATGAAAATAGAAGACTATTATAAAAGAACTCTTCCAAACTAAAGTGGCATCATTTAAGTAATATGATTTGTTGGGAAATATTTGCTTAACTTGATGTATGATGCTAAAACTAGCCTATATAAGACCAAGGTTAAGGGTTGCCAGAATACCAAAGATATTATGCAGGGTACTGCAACCGCACAGTGAACATTTCAGTTTTATGCAGCATAAGATTTGAGCATGGACAGAAATATGAATTGTGTTTCAAACTGATTTCCAAAGAAAGAAGCCACAAATGAGACAATGTGTGAATTGTGTGAGACAATATGGTGAATTAAATTATTTTCTATCTCCTAACAGAAGTCTTCTACTTTCAGATAGATACTGGAATTCCAAAGATGTAAAATATTTTGAATTAAATGCTGGTTATAATTTATTCTGGAAATTTGTGAAACATGTTTATTCTTGAAGTATGCAATCCTATGCACATTTATTGTGAATAGTGTAAGAGAATAGTGTATCAGCTGCATTTATATATACTTTTTAAGGATATGGATATTCAGGGAGGTTCTACTATCATTCCCCCGGCGGTTTTTTAAAAGGGTTTCAGGAATGTTTCCAGCATCTAACATGAGTGAGGTGAGTAACATAGAACCATCACAAATGCACTATAGCTACTTTATTATATTAATAAGAGGTGGGAAAATGTCGGCTTGAAGGCCAAACTGTGCATGTATGTGTGCATGAACATGTTGGGGGCATGTAAGCCAGCAATGGGTCCACCTGCTTGCTTTATGCGGAGGCCCCACCTATTTCTGTCATGTGCTTCATTTTTCTCTCGCTTTCCTTCTCTCGCACATGCACACACACATGTACTCTTTCTAGACTGACCTCTGCAGCGGATCTATGCAGAAGACTTTTTCCCTGCCTGATGCTAAGATAATCCCTTTCTCAGAATTGAGTCAGGAAAGGCGCTTATTTCAAGTTTTGAACAAAACGTTATCAGTGTCTATAAAACCAAAAGCCTCCCATCTGCAACTCTGAAGTGATGAGCAGGGCAGGGGAAGAATTTGGTGCAATGGATGGAGTCAGGTGCTTCTCTACCTGGGATGTTTTGACAGACTTCTCAGCATCCTCTCTCAGTAAGCACTTGCCCTGTGATTGAAGCACTGATCTGATTGCTTTCCCATGGAACGAATTATATCTTCTGCAAAAACAGTATTAGAATTATATCTGTTTAGAACAAACAATATATTCAATGTATAATCAATGAAATGTAACATCATGCTTCTGTAAACTGGCAGTTTATGCTACAACAGCTAATGCAGGAGCAGATGTGAAAGAAGCAGGTCAGTTCTGAACCATGTGCCTCAAGAAGCAAGGATGAATCTCCTTGCCACAGATTCTCAGGATTGCAAGGCTATGCTGGAGTTAACAAGTTTTGAACTCTTTCTGTGAACCTTAAGGTGAGTCACTACCGGTTGAATGTAGCCCTGCCCTGTTCTGACTTTCAAATTCGCTCAGTTTAAACCTATTGTCACTTTATTTTTTAAATTAATAAATTAGCATATAGAAAGAAAAGAGTTAGCTTACATTTAGCAGGTTGAGTTGTCATTAGATCCTGAAGGTCAATAGTAAATTTATGGAACTGGTTTAACTGTTGGGCAGAATTCTTCAGGTCAAAAATATCTTTAGAATGGGATGTTACAGTTCTGTTCATATGATTGACACAGTTCCAAAGACTGGAGACATGTTTGTTTAATCCTTCCTTTATCCTTTGAAGGCTGCTAGATACAGAGTCTAGTTTGTTGCAGGTTTTTTCAAGATGGGACACTCTGCCATCTAAATCTGATACACTGGGAAATTTCTCTTTACTTTTATTCATGTTATACAATACTTTCTCATTAAGCTGTTCCATTCTCTCCTTCAAGTCATTACAACAGTTACTGCTTGGGTGAGTTGTTTGATTGTTCACTGCATTCTGTATTTCATGTATTTTCCTGAGCACACCAAGCTGTGCCTTTTCACATGTAGAATTGACACCTAGAAGCTGCTCTTTGTAGCTGTTCAAACCACCCTGAAGGAATTTTACATCTTTATCAATGGCATGCAGACCATAGCGAACAAGTCGTAAGTCCTTCTGAAGTTTTTGAATGTCACGCTGGCTGCCTTTAATTAAATTAAATTTCTCACTTAGAGAGCCATTTAAAGACTTCAAAAGACCAGAGTTGAGCTCAGTTTTCAAAAATAATGAATCATATTTGCTGTTACATTCATCTAGGTCTTTCTGGAGGCCTTCCACATTTTGAGACATAGAGTGGCATTTCTGCCAGCAAAGACTTTCAATGTCTTGTAGCTTGTTCTTCACAGTATTAATCTCAGATGCAAGCTGCTCATTTCCAGATTCTGAGCTGCTGTGCAAGATAGATCCTTGACCAGAATATATTCCATGTGGATCTGTTATATTACTAATATCTAGAATAGTAGCATGCAGTCTATTTTCTAGTTCTTGAAGCTTTTTGTCAAATGAGCCTCTCACTTCATCAACTTCAGTAGCTATTACACCACGAAGAGTTCCTTCAACATAAAAACAGTGTGTTTCAGCATTTCTCTCTGTAATATTAATTCTTGCTTCTATTTCTTCCCATTTTTCATCAAAGCTGCCTTCTGCATATGGACTGGAAAAATGTTTTATTTCATTATCTATCCTGGCATTTAAAATTCTGTTTGCTTCTGCAACTTGGTCAATCTTTTCATGCAAATTTTTCATCTCCTGTCCAAAGCCATTACTTTTTGCATCATTGCAACAAGACGATTGGTTTGTTGGTATCTGAACAAGATTCTGAAGCTGTTTTATTTCTTTTCGCAGGTTCTTTTCTTTTTCTCCAATAAGCTCTCTTATTTCTAAGCAACTAGCTTCATGATCATCACAGTGTTGCTGAATATCCATCAGTTTGTACTCACAGGAATTTTTCAAATCTGCCATTTTCTTCTCAAATCCTTCCAATATTTCCTCTCTCAGGGCTTCAAACTTAGCATCTATGTATGCTTCATATAACTGGTTGTTAGGGAGTGTTATTATTGGGCCTTGGGCTGCTTCTTGAAGATGTTTCAATTGTCCTTCAAAGCCATTAACTTTCCCATCCAATTCTTCCAGCTTACCATTTTTGGCATTCAAACCATCTTCTACTAACATTACTTCAGACTTCACACTTCCATTTACAGATTCTTTTTGGTCTTTATTTTGAAATGGATTAACATTCTCTGTTCCACCTTCAACACTAGTGTCAGTTTCTGGATTATCATGAAGGTTATTCAACCATGATACAAGCATCCGATTTGCATCTTCTTGCACAGTAAACTTCACGTTTTTATTCACACCTGTTAAGGAGGATTGAAGCTCTAGCACAGTCTGTGTAAGACGGAACAATTCATCCTCAAGGAACTGAATTTTTTTATCCTGCAGTTCCTGTTGTTCTAGCTTTGGATTAGGCTCTGTGGAGGAAAAACATGCGACATTTTAATTATTTTTTCCAACAGCTTAGATTGAGAAATACTGAGGTTGGTTTACATTCCTCTATTTTTGCAGCATGGGGTATAAAAATACTAGAAAATCATGTATAAGTTTACAAATAACACAAAACCCTGATTTAGTACTATGAATATGAGCAGAAAGGAGCCTGAGTGACATCTCAGACTTCCATTCCCCACCCCCATCCCCCACATGCTCCTGGCCAGGAGGAAGAATAAGCCACAATTCTGTTTCACTTCAGAATTGGTGTAAAGGAATTAGCTGTAATCTAGGAAATGTTGTTTAACACACTAGTCAATTGCTAAATTCCAGTCGACTGCTGTAGTCAAAATTTTAATCAATTGCTATGGTCAAGCCCTAGTGCAGCATGGGGAATGTGTGGTGCTCCAGATGCTCTTGGAGTGCCATAGCCAGCATAACCCATACTGAATGGGATTAGGAGTTACAGTCCGAAAAGAACTGGAAGTCCGCACATTTGCCATCACTGCTCTAATCAACTGAATCAACTGCTAAACAAGCCAGCTAAAAGCTATGGGTTGTTGCACTGACTTTTTCGCAACCCTCTAGTGTCTATTTTAGACCACATTTCTTTGTTCACACAGAACAAGCCAAGACATTGACAGAGGGAAACCAAATAATGCAGGGGTCCTCAAACTTTTGGACCAGGGGGACAGGTGAAAGCTGCTGGTGCTGGGCGCGGGCCGGAAAGGGGGTGCCTGGTTGTGTGTGTGGGCCGGCCAGGGGGCGGGGCTGGGGGGGCACATATGGGCATGTGCGCTGAGGCGGGAGCGGGGTGCACAGCGAGGCATGGGCAGGTGCGCGCAGTGAGGGGAGGCGGGTTGGGCATGCACCGCAAGGCAGGTGCATGAGGCAGCGGCTTGCTGGCTTGGAGATCGTTTTCTCCAAGCAAGCAAACCGCTGCCTCCCGCATGCAGGGTGAGGTGGGCAGCCGTGGGCGTGCGTGTGCACACACGCGCAGCGGGTCCAAATGGGCATGGTGGGCCAAATCCAGCCCCTGGGCCATAGTTTGAGGACCCATGGAATAATGGATCATTATTCTTCCTCCCAGCCATGCAGCAGCAGAGAGAGGAGTGTTCAACCCACTATTTTGCCTCCCTTATCTGCTCAAGCACATAGTATGAGCTATGTCTTAACATTAAGTGTGGTCCTCAATTAAGTTGGCCCATGGATCATTCTTGCCTCCACAGGTATTCTTTTGAGGACGTCTATGCCTGGCAAATTCCCTCTACATGTTTTTATCCATTTCTGAGTGTGCATTGCCACACGCATGTATACATCCTATGCATGCATTGGATAGGATTCCACACAGCATGGAGCTTTAATTTTAAATACAGAGATCTCATGCATGTATAATACAATACAATGTAATGTAAGTCATAGCAAGAGATAGGAGGGGTGCTTTCCTTTCATTATTGGTGGAGGAAATCACGAGATGAATCTGACCGAACACACTTAAGAGCCCACTATCGGGCCTATGCTGTGGCGGTGAGGGCGGCAAAAAAGAGATTCTTTTCCGCTTCCATTGCCTCCTCACAATGCCGTCCGGCGGAGCTCTTTCGAGTGGTGCAAGGCCTGGTCCGTCCAGGTCCAAAGGAAGACCTGATTCCACCCTCAAAGACCCGCTGTGACGACTTTGCCAGGCATTTCAGGGAGAAAATCGCTCAGATTCGTCACGAGCTGGACACCACTATTGATTCAGAGGTTTCAAAGGAGACACCAATGCTGCCGTCTGGTCCAGATTTATTGGATGAATTTCAGTTATTGCGGCCCGATGATGTGGACAAGGTGCTTGGGCGAGTACGTCCAACCACTTGCCTTTTGGACCCTTGCCCGTCTTGGTTAATAAATGATTCCAAGCACGGGATTGGAACCTGGATCTTGGAAGTGGTTAACGCTTCTCTGAGGGAGGGTCGGGTGCCGGCCCCTTTGAAGGAGGCGGTAGTCCGACCGGTCCTGAAGAAGGCGTCACTGGATCCAGAGATGGCCACTAATTATAGACCAGTGGCCAACATCCCGTTTCTGGGCAAGGTGTTAGAACGAGTGGTGGCGGGACAACTCCAAGCACTCTTGGATGAAACTGATTATCTGGACCCATTGCAGTCCGGCTTCAGACCCGGGTACGGTACTGAATCTGCCTTGGTCGCCCTGTATGATGACCTGTGCAGGGAGAAGGACAGGGGGAGTGCGTCCCTGTTGGTTCTGCTGGACCTCTCAGCAGCTTTCGATACCATCGACCATGGTATCCTTCTGGATAGGCTTGCGGGATTGGGGGTTGGAGGCACTGCTTTGCAGTGGTTCCGCTCCTATCTCAATGGCCGGTTCCAGAAGGTGGTGCTGGGGGACTATGGCTCTGCGCCATGGCAGCTATGCCATGGAGTACCGCAGGGGTCCATTTTGTCCCCTTTGCTGTTCAACATATACATGAAACCGCTGGGAGAGGTCATCAGGAGGTGTGGGCTGCGGAACCATCAGTACGCTGATGATACCCAGCTCTACCTCTCATTTTCCACCAATCCAGGTGAGGCAGTGGCTGTGCTGAACCGGTGCCTGGCCGAGGTAATGGGCTGGATGAGGGCCAATAAACTGAAGCTCAATCCAGACAAGACGGAGGTCCTGTTGGTTGGTGGATCGGGCTTCGGAGAGGGTGAATTGAACCTTGTCCTGAATGGGGTTGCACTCCCTCTTAGGGACAAGGTCCGCAGCTTGGGAGTGCTCCTCGACCCAGAGCTTTCACTGGAAGCTCAGGTAACAGCAGTGGCGAGGAGTGCTTTCCTCCAGCTTCGGCTAATTCATCAGCTGCGCCCCTATCTGGAGAATGACTGCCTTGCGACAGTGACACATGCGTTGGTGACTTCCCGTTTGGACTTCTGCAACGCGCTCTACGTGGGGCTACCCTTGAAGACGGTCCGGATACTTCAATTGGTCCAAAATAGAGCTGCCAGGCTGCTGACGGGGACTGGACGTTATGTTCACATGACTCCAGTTCTCCGTCAGCTTCACTGGCTTCCCATTGAAGTCCGGGCCCAATTCAAGGTGTTGGTTATGACCTATAAAGCCCTAAACGGCTTGGGTCCTGGTTACCTGAAGGAGCGCTTACATCCTTATATGCCCAGCCGCCCCCTGAGATCGGCGGGAGAGGCCCTTCTCCGGGAGCCCTCCATGGAAGAAGTTAGGAGGGTGGTTACTCGGAGGAGGGCTTTCTCAGCGGTGGCGCCTAAGTTATGGAATGCGCTCCCCAGAGAGGTCCGCCTGGCGCCGTCGTTATTTGTTTTTCGGCGCCAGGCGAAGACCTTTTTATTTAAGCAGTATTTTAAATGTTAATATTATTGAATTTTATTTGGCCAGGGCGGCTTGTTTTATAGTGTATATTTGTATTTTATTGTATATATTTTAAAATGTTATTTTAAATTTTTTGTTGTAAGCCGCCCCGAGGCTTCGGCGAATGGGGCGGCATAAAAATGTTTTAATAATAATAATAAAATAATAATTATTGTAACACTGCATCTGGCTGCCGAAAAATTATTTTTCCAAACTTAAAAAATGTACCTTATATGTAGCTATATTTTGCTTCACGCCCCAGTTCATGTACTTTCAAGTAGTGTCAGTTAAATAAAAGAAATATTTCCTTGCATGGCTACCATTTCCATTTCTTTGAAACTAAACTTAAAAAAAAAATGAAAACAGTGTAGTGTGGGAGGAAATCTTTTATCTATCTTATCCAAGCTTGCTTATCTCCCATAAAGTAAAGCTGACTTCCTCTAGAGCTGACTACATGCTTTAGATTCTAACAGGCAGAATGCCTTCCTCATCAGAGACCTGGGCAGCTATTAACATCACCAGAAGACGACGTGCTGGTTGTTTTATGACCTATAGATTGCCATCTCTCAGTGACAAGGAAGCAGGCCTTTTCTTTGGTGGTGCCATGACACAGAATGACCCCCTTGTTATCTATGAGGCACTAACTGTAGGATGCTTTAGGGATCACCTAAAGACCATGCCAGCTAGCCTGCTGATGATTATACTGTTGTATTGGTTTTTAATGTTTTATTAAAATTTTTATAAAAGTCTTAGCAACTACTATAAATTTTAATGTATCTTGTGTATTTTAATGTATTTAATTTGGTAAATTCTGGATATTTAAAATATGTTAAGTGGTTTATAAATCTATTAAATAATAATAAGTAAAATAAACTCATAAGTCTGCTAAATGCTTTAAGTGTAAGAAATTAGTCAATGTGATATTTGTTGAATAACTAGTAATCAGCTGTAGTTCAGCAACACGTGTTAGAAATTAAGCACTTATTCTTTCTTGAGGAAAATCTTACAAATTAAGAAATTCAGTATCGTTTCATTCATTCATTGTATCTTTTGCTTTGGAAATAATCCCTGCTTCAGCCTACTACAAAATTATACAACAGTAACAACCAATTTCAAAGGACTTATGGGACTTATAAATAAGATAGGTATGGTACAGCACTTTAAACACAGGAAGTGCTATGTAAAATGCAGCAAAAAGAGAAATATTAGGCAGGGACATGCATACCACGATGCAGAGAAAAAGTTACCCAAGCTTGTCTTCATATCGTTTGGTGGTTGCTCTGCTGGATAAACAACAGGTCTTGGCCTCTGTGGTACTGCTTCCTTGCAATCTACACCCATGAATCCAGGGCAACACCTCCACTCCAGTTCCGTCACAGTCTTGTATGCTATCCTATATTTAGGTCTGAAACTTGTGCGATACCTGCAAGTAATCAGATGGAGAAGATAGCATTAAAATGACCTGTTGACATTTGTTTGTTTGTTTAAAACATTTGTATGCCGCCCAATTGTCTATTGTTTTGCTCTTTCAGGATAAAAATGGCAAGTAATGGCAAGAAATGATCAGGGTAAGTATTTGCAAATAAAAAGGTCTTAGCCTGGCATCGTGGTTATTTGTTTTTCGGTGCCAGGCTAAGACCTTTTTATTTAAAACTTATTTTAATTGTTAACTTATTATGTATTTATAGGATTTTACATTTTTAAGCTGAGATGTTACCGGGCTTTTTAATCTTTAATTGTATAAACTGTTATTTATATGTTTTAATTATGTTGTGAGCCGCCCCGAGGCTTTGTTGTGATGGGGACAGCATAGAAATGTTTTAAATAAAATAAATAAATAAAATGACTGAGAACTGCCCATGTTTCTACAAGGCAAGGTAAAGATCAGGGGAGCAGTTCACTGTTTTGCATTAAAAAAATCAAGTACATATTTTACCACATTACACATTTTTAAATAGGTCACAAAGGAAAACAGTATTATCTTCATATACTGTAGGTGACAAATGCACACACACACACAAATGAATAAAATGCATTATTTACTATGCAGAAGTATTGATCTTCATAGTCAAGTATGAAGCAATCTCCCACTATCTTAGCTTTTGAAAAATAGATATATTTAATTTTTAAAATACTGGTTAAAAATGTAATTAGGAATAATTCAAAGCAGAACTGGGCTTTTTCTACAGAACTATAAATTGTACCGTATTCTGGATTTCAGTTAGAAAACAGACTAAGTAGAATACACTAAATACTTTTCCCTGCCAAAACTCAGCAGCAAGCAAGCAGAAAACTAGGTAACAGAAAAATGGAAATTGCAAAAATGACTGTTAAATTCATCCCATAACATTATATATGAAAATATAATGACCTAAGGCTAAGCTCATTGAACATAATGAAATTTAGTTTTAATTAGACCTATACAGAATTGCACTACACATGTATTAAATTGCAGATTTAAAACTTGCTTTGATTTTCAAAAGCTTATTTCAAATGTAATAATGGTTATTTCTTCTGATTCTTCTTACCATTTATGAAAAACCTAATCATTAAACAAAGTTTAGTTAACATATATACCACAGTTTTAATTCTAACATCTTACATACATTATCTAATTATTCTAGTCTTATTTTAACATATCAATTATACAATGAAAAAAGTAGAAGAGCATGAATTCTCTTGCTATAATCCTCCATACTTGCTCTACTTTGGGAATTACAAAGCTAGGAATCACATGGAGTTTGCATGTATCTAAAATACGTAGGTCAGACTTACCAACAACTCATGGAATGGGACTTGTATAATGACACAATGTATCCAGTCATCCAATTACTCGTGTGAGGTAAGGAGCTGTATAATTTGAAAGCTCTGCATTCTGAAGGGAAGTTGCTTCTATTCATGATGTTATTTTACTGCTCTTATGTATCAGTTGTACTAAACAAACACAGCTTACTGAATTTGAACTATTTACTCAGTTGTCTCCCACATCCCCATACATTCCATCATTAAATTTCCTGAAATATTGAATAATAGTTTCACCAATCTTCAACTAAACCTAAAAAATTAACAATTGTTACAGTTTTTATTTCGGGTCTCCATCATACATTACATATACAGAAGTATGCTGAAACATCTGCAAAGCCATTTAACTTTTCCACATTATGGTGTGCTACAATCTGGAATTTAAATCAGTTTAATTAGTATTGTTACCACCTGATGTGCACAAGATATCTGTGCACAATGTGAAAGTGTAAATGTTTTTACAGTGGTGCACAAGTTAAGTAAATGGGTACTTGATGCTTACCTATTAGCCCGAGTCAATACTTAATAGAAGCACTTTCAACAGCAATTAAAACTGTGAATCTTTGTGAATAAGTTTCTATCAGCTTTGTGCATCTGGATAATGCAGCAGGTGCCCATTCCTCCTGGCATAACAGCTTCCGCTGTGGATGGGGACTGCTGGTGAACAGCAACTTTCAAGTCCGACCCCAGATTTTCATTCAGATTGAAGTCTTGGCTTTGACTGGGCCACTCTATGACTTTCACATTATTTTTTTTAACCTACTCCAGTGTTATCCTGACTGTGTGTTTATGGTCCCAGTCTCAGGTCCCTTGCAGACTGAAATAGGTTTTCCTCAAGAATTGCCCTGTATTTGGCTCCATCCATGTTGCCCTCAGTCTTGACCAGTTGCTCAGTCCCTGCCAACCATACGGCACGATGCTGCCACTATCATGTTTCACCATGGGGATGGTGTCCTCATGGCAAATGAGCACTGTTGGCTTTGTGCCACACACAGTAATCGGAAGCCAGGACAGAAAGTTCAGTTTTGGTCTCCTCAGATCAGGGAATTTTCCCTCCACATTTCTCTCCCACATGCCTTTTGCAACCTCCAAATGGGGTTTGATATGGGTAGTAGGATTGCTCTGCTAGTAAGATATTTACAGGGTTTGGAGTTAGTCTTTTATCTGGTTTGAACTTCAATCCTTGTTTTTTTGTTTTGATTTTACAGAATCACACACATTAACATATACTTACATACAATATTATATTTCTGCTGTAATATTTGATGAACCTTCTTCATTAATATTAAATGAATATTTAAAAGGGAATTATGACATGTAGGGCGAGTCCATGCATGCTCCCTTTGAAGCAATTCCTTCTGTGTTTCATGCACAGGACTCAATTGCTAGCTGAAGACTTTAAGTTCAGAAAACATAAACAATCCTCATAATAGGGTTAGCAAGAATGAGAAAATCTAATATCCTGACCACCCATGACTTTCCTGTTTCCTGGTACTCTTATCTGTAATATAAAACTACTTATTACTGTGTACTTTAGCTACAATGTCTTTCAAAAAACCCTTACCACTGAAGTCAGTGCAATAAGACATGCCAGGTTTTTTGAAGAGGGTTAAAGTGATTAGTGAGATATTCCAACCATAACAATAATTAACTCAAAGTTTGACCTAGTAAGTCTGGTTCACATGAGCACTCCTATCTCTATATTCAGACTGCAGTACCTGGACTGAGGCAACTGAGTTGAGCTTTGTCAAGCAAAGCCTCTGAAGGTCCTATATTTTATTAATTTGCTTTAAGTAAATTATTTGACTACACAGGTTTGTTCTGAAAGTTGGAAAACTGAGATCTTAAAAGCATTTTGAGCATACTTTCGATACATTAAATTTCAATAATATACTAGTCACTATGGTTGGCTAAAAACATAATAAAATGTCTACTTATGATCACTGGACTTTGATTTTCATGAAAAAAATCAACTAAGTGCTTCATTATCTACTGTGTTCTTATTTTCCATCAACAGGAAATAAACCATTCAACATGTTGTGTTTGTCACATTTCCAAAGCATTTCTTATGTTTTGTACCATTGGTCAAGCAACTTTCAAATGTTAATAAAATCATCTGGATTATAAATTAAGTTTTCTGTTTAATGCGAATTCTTAGAAAGAATATTGGGCAACTTGTGTCCTATTTTTTAAATAAAAATGTACTGTATTTTTTGCTCTATAAGACGCACCTGACCATAAGACACAGTTAGTTTTTAGAGGAGGAAAACAAGAAAAAAAATATTCTGAATCAAATGGTTTACTAAACTATTTAATAAACTATAACAGAATACAGTAATACCGTATTTCAACCTTGTAAAATAAACAGCAGTCAACAGTGGCATTAAGAACCATCATCACTGTCATTAACAAAAGAGAGACTTTAAAGTTCGAGTACTCTTCTAGTTTTCGTTGAAC